CGATTATAAAATTAATTCGAATTGTAACCTCTCGATTATTTAATTCATTCGATTATTCCCATCACTACTCAATATAAATAAAATAAAATTGGTTATTTGCTTACTTCACTCGTATTTATGAAGCTACATTCATTTGGGTCATATGGAACAATAGCGCCACCACAACTTCTGCCATTTCTTGGACAAATTTTGTCAATTTTCCCGTATGAGTTCGTACTCCTTATCTAGTCTCCATGGCTCATAATTTAAACCAAGTACGTGAAAGTTACCTACCTTAATTTGAATCATACATGGTTCGATGTTTTTAACGCTATGTGGCGCTATATGCAAATTACTAACTATTTGCTGCAATTTGATTGGTTAATCTGCAAAAGTTAATGTTCTCATACCCTTAGAGCATATACCACATGGACTGGCACGCTTACGGTGACAATGTAAATGAATGCAGGCATGTGATTGGCTAACGTAACTCCTTCCTCAACGATTAGAAAGAGAGGGCCAGGACATAAACCATCGCTTTTTCTCTCTACAGTGACTACACTTTTTAAAACGTGCTGCTTCCTCCACGTAGTATATGCTCTTAGACCACTGAATACTGCGTGAAGAGTGAAGGGGACATTAGAATGAATTATTGAATTATAACTTTTTCATTTTAAGGTGAAGTAATAAAAAGGTGGCCAAATAGATTTTCAATTTTATTTTTCATAGTCAAAATATAATAATTATAACCCTTATAATATGATAAGCAAAAATTGGACACGCTATTACTGAGAATGCATAAAACAAACTACACTGATAATATAAAAGCAAATTATAAAATAATGTATGCTGGAAATCACGGAAAACCAAACAGTATTAATGGATATGTAGAAATTATTTTGAAAAATTTGCTTCCCGGAGGTTGCACACTTTCAAAACGATTCCTTTACAGTAACATCGAAAACAATAATAAAATCGCTCACAGTCTTTTATACATTTATGTTACAAATGAAGAATTAAAAGAAAACATTCATATAACACATATATACAATAATATACAAAAAAAAACAAACATACCCATAAAGTCTATTAACTATACAAATTCAATGAAATGCAAACGAATATCATCGGGATAACATTAAAGTGGTTACTTTATAAAATTGAAGAGTTAGTAAGAACACCCTGTATAGTTAACAGACTAGAATGTTATAATTTTCCTCCAAAATCATTCTCGCAGTACCTCGCTTGCACCAGAAAATCAAGAATGCATTGTAGAAAAACGATAACACCTAAAAACGGTGGCTATATTCTCTGAAAAGCGGTATAATTTTCATGTGCTGCTCTCAAACGATCTAATATTAATTAACATTTGACTAATCGTTCTCAAATTAGTGTATAGAAATTAAGAAAGGACATCGTCCGTTATTTTAGGAACGATCCATTGCAGAAAATTAATATGTACGAAGCATATCCCCAAAGTAAGAGTACTGAGGTTCCAATTTCTCTTCTCTGAAGGTGTTATGGGTGGAAAAAGGTTTTCTACCGACGATGAGTTCCACAGTGCCGTGAAACGACAATGGGTCCGAGAGGCGACGGGAGATTTCTTCGACAAAGGTCGATCAAGAAGCTCATCGCTCAGCTCACAAAGTGCATTTAGGTTGAAGGCGACTACTTCGAAAAATAGTGTTTGATGTACCTTTCTGAATATGAAAATTTTTCATAATTATACTGACGTTTCGATTTTTTATTAATTGAGTACTCTTTGGATATGCCTCGTAAGTACGGAATCAGGATTAGCCGATATCGAGGCCAATATGATCTTGTTATTAAGAGTCTTGCACTAGGTTTTTAATAAATCATTGCAGTTTGTATCAGCATGGAGGCTGTTGAAAAATTAACAACCGTTTTTAATTTTTTTTTTCAAAATTGTCAAATATAAAGTGTTTAAAAAAATATGAAAGCAAAACTATACCGCAAGGGTCGGCAACTGGCGGACCGCGGTCCAGATCCGGACCGCGGAAGGTAAAATAATGGACTCCCAAAAATTTTTTAAAAGGATAAATTACTCAATTAAATTATTTAAAAAATAGTTTTCTATTGATAATAATACGTTTGAGTGCCACCCTTATCATTTCTACTACAATTGCGTGATTGATTTGAGTTCTTAATAGTTAGTAGGTAGATTAAATTTGTGAGTGCAAATTAAAATAAAAAATTAGTAAGAAATGTTTTTTTGTGGCCTTCGTTAAAAATTTTCAGAAGTATCCGGACCCCACCTAAAATTACTTGCCGACCCCTGCTATACAGAGTGGTAGAAAATGAAAATATAGGTATGGTTTCTTCAACAAACATACATACATAAATAAACAGTTTCGTAATGAAAATTTTTGGAAAACACTATGATATTTTTTCTGTAACTGATTTTTTAATTACGAGTAGGGTAGATTGGAGAGTTCAAAATTCCCCCCCCACTTTTGCTCCCCCCACCACTTCCCCCGCCCACAAACTGGTTTTCAACCAATTAGAGATGGGGGAAGTCTATACTGACCGATGAGAGGCTGGAGTTGAAAATTGTTGGGGGGGAAATTATGAACTCTCCAATCTACCCTACTATTATGTACCTCCTTCCAAGTATTTAATTTAAGACTTATACCATGTATATTTCACAAATTTGCTTATGTCACTGGTCAACTAAGCAATAAAAAATAAATCGTTCTATTTAAAACTACCAAAAAAAATGTAGAACGGTTTCTCAAAAACGGCTAGGTATCGGTGCGTTACAAACCAAAATGATGTTATTTAAAGAAAACTCTGATTAATTTCAGCCCGCGTTAACATAAATTAAAAAAATAGTTGAGGAATTTAAAAATAATTTCTATATAGTGATTTCTCTTGAGCACTTTTGCTGATCAATTTTTTTTCTTAGCACTGAGACGATCTTTCCCGAGATATATGGCCGATGTCCCTTTTTATTTGGACACTCAGTTAAACCATCACAGGTTTCTGTTATCGGACGCTCCTTCTTCCTCCTATTGGAATCTATTTTGCATTCTTTGCTTTTGCCTTTGCATTTTGTGATTTTTCCACGAAAATCTGAAGTCAAAACAGGCTGTTTCTAAAAATTTTTTATAGCGACACCAAAAAATAAACTCAAAAACTCTGAAACTGAAAGCACGTTCACGTTCTTTAAAATCGGGGCTGAACGCGGCAGAGAATATCGCCACCGGTACGATTAAAATTGTGACACAAATTTTTAACGTATGAGTTAAAAACTACCAATTGTGTTTTTTTTATGAATATGTTTCAAAAATCGTAGCTAGAATATATTTATATAAACATTATATTACATGAAAAAATTGGCTGTGTGAGAAAAAACGTGTTAAATACATAAAAAAATATGCAGTACACTAAAACGATATATATCCAAATCCTCCTTTCTGTCAACATTCTTATATCTCTAATCTGACACTATCGTATATTTACATTCTTTACATTTTTGTTAAAATATACCTCTCTCCACTTTTTCTGTATACCCTTTCGTGAGATAACCATTTAATCGAATCCCTGCTTCCGTCTTTTTTTTTCGCTAAGTTATCGAAGTTTTTGATATAATAATAGTTTCACGCCTAAGGAGATTCCGACTAAATGGTGTCATCTGATTTATACAAGATTTTTGGCAATATCAAGTACCAAATATATAAAATTTTTATACTATTGTAATGAGAATACTGACTTCAGTATAAAATGCTTATCTAAATATTTGTTTTTTTTTTCTAAGAGACAACAGGTTTTCAGACATATTTAGAATAAATTCTATAGTGTATAAGGGAGGCAACATCTATATGTATACAATATTACGAAAAATTAGAAGTTTGATATTTTATGCCAAATATATATCACCTTGGAAACCAAAGGGCAGACGTCCTTGAAATCCGCATCTTTGGCGTCAAGAAGACAGTCACAAATACATATTGAATGGTTTTCGTACACTTTCAAAGTAAACTCAACGTTTTATGATTAGTACATTTGTTACGGAGTATGAAACATTCCGCTTTTAGTGTATTCATAATAACAATGGTCACTTTACAAATTCGGAGGCGAATTTAAGCCAGTTCACGTGAAATTATTCTACGAAAATTAGCGGCAATAAAATGTAATAGCCAGCTGCCTTTTTCCTAATGTGCTGCCTCGTCAAAATCACAGTTTTATTTACACAATACGTAATACCGAATAAATGTAATGTTTAGCTCCATCAAAGAATCGTAATGTTAAAATAGCAAAATTAGCGACACCACCACCTTTTGTACGAGATTTAAATACTCGTACTACCGTGAAAGGTCACGCATTTCAAATCCCATTGATATTATTTACCATCTTGTAATAATATTGGTAAAAATGGATGAATTCAAAACGATAAAAAAACTTTGAAAAAACATCAGAAATATACAAAAAACACTTTTAATTACACCATACACATTGTTATAAATTGGCAAGATTAAAAAAAGCATTTTCGTTGTACTGTAAGCTCCCGTCGTAACAAAATTATTGTACACCCTGTGTAATTAAAAGCATCCATTCATAACATTTTTACACGATATTGTACACATACGTAATTAGAAATAAATAAGTTTATACTCCGAAAGCCAAACAAATCACAAAAACAGCCCTTTGCTCCTACCCAGCTGCGGCATAAAAGATTCTTAAACACACGAAAATCCAAAAAATTGACTACATATCATGTCACGAATCGTGTAGAAACAATGCACCCTACCCAGTGCGGCAATATTAAAACTTTTTAGGCCCTTATGTAAATTCTCAATTATCTAAAAACGATTCCTAAACTGCCAACAACAAAATACAGCCTCGGTAACCTTCACGCGTGAACTAAATCGTGGGAACGTTACCAGCTACTCAATTCCGATGAAAAATAAACCCTCCGACGTAAAAGCCACCTCAGCTGTACAGTTTCGAGTAGTTTGCGTTACCTCTACAAGTTAAAAAGTAAAAAATATCTTAAATTTCCACTAAAGTCCACTTTGTTCCATTCTGTTCGGTAAATACACTTAATACTCGGTTAAGGTGTGCAGCGTCGCCTTCCTTCATCATCTCAAAACTATCACCGACAGCACCGACAGAGCTACCAAACAAACCGTTGGCAGCAACAACTGGCTCGTGTTGACATCGTCACTCTCGGCACAGGTCCCTGCGAACAAGCCGATATATAACAACCGAATCAATTGAAATACAAAGCTTTACACCACCCCCTAATATCAGAAATGTCATCAAAATGCGTTGACTACAATTATATTCGACAATTCAAAGTGAAAGGTTAATAAAATAGGATCGTTAGAGGAGCAAATGATTCTATGAGTGAGAATTCCAGGAACATAATTGAGAATTTGAGGTGTGAGAGGTCAGGAAGAATTCGAGGAGTGGGAGATTTCATGCCCAAGAATTCTAAAAGTGGGATGTTCTATCTGTGAGAATTCAAAATTTGGTCAATGAGAAGGCAGTAGGTGAGAATTTCAAGAACGAGAGGTTAACGACTGAGAATTTCATTCAAAACATCTGCTGTCTAACTAAAACTATGTCATAAATCTATTATTAAACTGCTATATAGCTACTCAAGAAGTATTTTAAGGGTAGTGCAATAATTTTTGACAATGACGTACATTAGAAAAGCGGAAGGTAGTAGAATGTCAATTCAATGTGAGATGTGGATAAAATGAGAATTAGATGAGCGAAGGGTTCTGAGTGAGAATTCCAGGATCAAGAGATTCTGTGAGAGAAAATACAAGGAATGAAAGGTCTGTGTGAAAGAATTCCAGGAGTGGTAACTTACATGTCCATCAAGAATTCTAACAGTGTGAGGTTCTATTTATGAGAATTCAAAGATCGAGAGGTTCTAAGTGAGAATTCAATCAATGAGAAAGAAAGAATTCGAAGGGTGAGAAATTGATAATTGAGAACTTTTGAAATTTGTGATATATTCTACAATTCTACTGTAATTTACAATGATAAAAATTAGAATAGAGAAAGGTCAAGTAATGCTTATAAAATGAGAATTAGAGTAGCAAAAGAAATTCCAGGAGCTGGAGGTTCTAGTAAGAATTTGAGGGGCGAGATGTATGTCAAGAAGACTTCGAGGAGTGGGAGATTTCATGCCCAAGAATTCTAAACGTGGGAGATTCTATCCATGAGAATTCAAAAATCCAAAGGTTTTAAGTGAAAATTCGACGTATGAAAGGTCTGTGTGAAAGAATTCCAAAACTGGTAAATTCAATGTTCAAGATTTCTAATAATGGAAGGTTATATTATTGAGAATTCAAAGATCGAGAGGTTCTAAGTGAGAATTCAATCAATGAGAAAGAAAGAATTCGAAGGGTGAGAAATTGATAATTGAGAACTTTTGAAATTTGTGATATATTCTACAATTCTACTGTAATTTACAATGATAAAAATTAGAATAGAGAAAGGTCAAGTAATGCTTATAAAATGAGAATTAGAGTAGCAAAAGATTATATGAGTGAAAATTCCAGGAGCTGGAGGTTCTAGGACTTCGAGTAGGAGATTTCATGCCCAAGAATTCTAAAAGTGGGAGGTTCTATCTGTGAGAATTCAAAATTTGATCAATGAGAAGGCAGTAGGTGAGAATTTCAAGAACGAGAGGTTAACGACTGAGAATTTCATTCAAAACATCTGCTGTCTAACTAAAACTATGTCATAAATCTATTATTAAACTGCTATATAGCTACTCAAGAAGTATTTTAAGGGTAGTGCAATAATTTTTGACAATGACGTACATTAGAAAAGCGGAAGGTAGTAGAATGTCAATTCAATGTGAGATGTGGATAAAATGAGAATTAGATGAGCGAAGGGTTCTGAGTGAGAATTCCAGGATCAAGAGATTCTGTGAGAGAAAATACAAGGAATGAAAGGTTTGTGTGAAAGAATTCCAGGAGTGGTAACTTACATGTCCATCAAGAATTCTAACAGTGTGAGGTTATATTTATGAGAATTCAAAGATCGAGAGGTTCTAAGTGAGAATTCAATCAATGGGAAGGAAAGAATTTAAGGGCGAGAAATTGATAATTGAGAATTTTTGAAATTTCTGTTGTATTCTAAAAATAATAAAATGAATACATCTTAATGATACAGAAAACACAAGCACAAAAACTTGCTACTATTTTATAAAAACTGGTCTTAAATTGCTGTATAGCTACTCAGGAAGAGTATTTTATGGGTTATTATATTTGACAATGGATAAAAATTAGAAAGAGGAAGGTTGAGTAATGCTCATAAAATGAGAATCAGAGTAGCAAAATATTCTATAAATGAGAATTCCAGAAGCTGGAGGTTCTAGTGAGAATTTGAGGGGTGAGAGGTGTGTGAGAAATATGAGGAGTACCAGAAGTAAAAGCGAATGGTTCTGTTAATGAATATCTAAGAGAAAATTTGATCAGTGAGAAGGTAGTGAGTGAGAATTCAGGAAGGGAGAGGTACTGAAATTTCTGTTGTCTTTGAGAAATAACGAAATATAGATATAAATCTGCTTCTAAATTGCTATATAACTACCCAAGAAGAGTATTCTAAGGGTGGTTACAAAGATACTAAACAATAATGAAAATTAGACAAGCAGGAGGTAAAAGAATTAATATTCAGATAGAACGGTTGCCAAGATTAGAGGTTTGTAAGGAAAAATTTGAATAGTGAGAGATTCCACAATCAAGAATACTAAAAGCAGGAGGAGGTTATATTAGTATGAAATCAAGAAATAAGGTTATGAGTGAGAATTCAATCAGAGAAAGAGTTCAAGGAATGATATTTAGGACTGAGAATTCATAGTGTAATAAGTGAGAATTTGAGGACATTAATAAGTGAGAATTCAAAAAGTGAGAGGTTGATGAGTGAGAATTTAAGAAGTGAAAGGCCGATTAGTGAGAATTTATAGAACGAGAGGTCAATGAACGGAATTAAGCAACGAGATATTGACAAACAAGTTGTGAAGGAATGAAAATATTCATAGCTCACTTTAACAAAGAACTAAATAGTCAACAAACCATTAACTTACAGCACTACTTACCATTGCTGGTGAAATTGAAAGCCCAGTTGCCGCCGACTCCAGGAACGATGTTCCTGTGGCAGCTCTCGGACACTCCGGAAAGTCGTAAAATCGGCGGCCCTTCCTTCCCTAGTATTCCATCAATCATCGCAGATTTAGCCTCATCGGCCAAAGTGTAAATAAAACAGTATCGTAGAGCATCCGTCGATTTTCGAGCCACTGGGGTGGTTATAACATAGGTTATACCGTTCTCCTCCCAACTTCCGTGACAGGAATAGGCTGCAAATGTTATCATTAAATTATCGTTATTAGCAATATTAAATAAAGATTCAACACAGAAAAGAGTGACTTAAAAATTAGTTTCTTACCGCTAACTGCTTGCTGTGAGCAGCTCGATTTGAATTCCATTTCATGAGATCCGCTGCATCCGACAGCAAGGGCTTCGTAATCGTGCGAAACGCAGTCCGGTTCTGGATTGTTCGCGCTTTTCACATCATCTGAAAACAAACGACGAGTTATATGAGCAACTAAATAACCTCAACGTTAAAAGTCGTACCTGGCTGCTGTCTCTTCTTCCTCTTCTTTGCCTGAGTGGAAATGCTCGCTAGAGTGTATCGGCCGAGATGGGGGCACTTCTTAGGATGTAACGTTGTTGCTGCAATTGTAAACATTTAAAACAAATCTAGTAAAGAGTGCAAGTGATACTTACTGATAAGTGTTGTGTACGGAGTCGTACTAGGGTCGAAATCAAGACAGGCATCATCGGGATTTTCCACGTAATTTTCTAAAATGAGAAAAGTTTATTGGCGTCAAAGTAGGGATGAAGTAAAATGCAACTAACCTGTCTGTTGTAGTTCGATGATGTTGGAATCTCGCTTGTAGAAGACCATGCAAACATAACCGCTGTCGCTAAAAATAAGTACATTTTATTGGTGAATTGTATTGCACACATAGACAGGCTCATTCACATAACACTCTCCAGACCCGATACTTCGAGAACGAAGAGATTTTTTGATCCTGTAAAAGCCAGTTGATGGAGCTGCTCGACGATGACGATTAAGGTATCAAGTGGAATTTTTTGGTCGTCATCTCTATAATAATCTTATGGAGGAAAACAACAGTGGATAAAAATACCTAATTTTGATGTTTAATTGCATCCCTTTTGTTCAACAGTCCTTTAACCAGTGAACCGTACTAACATATTTTTGCAAAATAATGTTTTTAATTTATTAGAAGACGCTCTATCCCCAAAACATGCTCAAAATACAGCGATAGTAAAATTACAAACCTCTTAAATGGGACCTATCCTGGAACACCGATCAGGACAAATGGTTTAGGTGGCCAGCATGATCACCAGATCTGACACCACTTGAATTTTTCTTATACGGGTCTCTTTAAGAGGACTCTATAGCAAATAGGCAACCAGCAATACATTTTAATAGATTTTATTACACAGTTTGTATAAATATGAATTAATGTACAAATAATAGACTTTCCCCCATTTTAATGCAGATTTTCTATAAAGTGGACTTAGTTTGAAACTCAAATTACTTTTTGGTGTAAAAAAATTTGTAATTCGCTTTTTCGAAAGCAGCAAATTACAAATTTCATTACAACAAAAAGTAATTTGAGTTTCAAACTAACTCCATTTTGTAGAAAATATGCATTAGAATGGAGAGTCTGTTATTTGTGCATTAATTCACATTTAGACAAACTGTATAATAAAATCTATAAAAATGTATTGCTGGTTGCCTATTTGGTATAGAGTCGTCTTAAAGAGACCCCTATAAGAAAAAATCAAGTGGTGTCACATCTGGTGACCGTGCTGGCCACCTAAACCATTTGTCCTGATCGATGTTCCAAGATAGATTCTTAAAAGATATGGTATATGCTAAGTCAGTAGAAAATATTTAATCAATAACATTTATTTATCTGATGAATTTCTATTTACTAGATATTGGGGGTGCAATTTAATGCTAGATGGGGTATGTAGTCCGCAAAGTAGTTGTTTCTTAGAAAAGTTTATGGTTTTAACTTGATAATCAATCTAAAATTGGTCCTTATAACCGATTTTAAGCCTTTTCTAAATATTTTAGTTCAAGTTTTATTGTTTGAAGCTGAAACCAGACTCATTTTTGAGTCATGAAAATATCACGGGTTTTGAGTATATTTAATTTGGTTGTTTGATAACTCAAAAGTTACTTAATTTTTAAAATTCCAGTAACTGACATAAATTGCTTAAAATTAAATTGTGATTTGGAAAAACTATTTCTCAAAGCTCCTGCCTAAAATTTCCTTTCAAATCAGCACCTTTTTTTATTTATTTTCAAAATATTCCACTTGAGGCCTTAGTAGACGTCATAAAAGAGGTCTATAAACTGTTTTTTATATAGAATCAAAAAATCTCTTTCCCTTATCAAGTTATCCAGCTGGTGGAGTTTTATGTGAATCACCCCGTATAAGATTGAAAAACTGTACAATCTGATATCAAAAATAATTATGGAATATAAAAAAATAATAATAAATAGTATTTCAAAAAAAATTTGGCAACTTAGGAATTCAAAATTTAAGGCACATCACTTTACTGCAGCTAATGAAACAGAAAATAAAAAGCTCAAAGGTGTTTTCTAGCATTGCAGTTTCTAGGGACAGATTTCAGGAGACTGTAACTCCGAAAGAGGGGGCTATTGGGTAAAAAGAAAAAATACGGGTCCCCTAAATATGTTTTAAGAATCTACGACCAAATTTTGTTGCATGGATTTCGGGACATCCTGTATTATTTGGAATCACATTTAAAACGACATATTATACGCTGTATCAGTGACGTCAGGTTTGCTGCAGGTTGAAACAATTTTCAAATTATCAACTTAATTGTAGCGGCATATGCGCTTTGAACACTTAAGACATTGTAAACTACATTAAAATATTTTTTGTTTTGGAAAAAGAAAAAGCTAAAACCGAGAAAAGATCTGAAGAGTGAAGAGAAAAGACGAAATGAGGTGTGACACAGGACAGTGTTTTATGTGAGTATTTTTTTATTGTAATATAATCCACAGGTGGTTAGAATGTGACAAATAACCATAAGACAAAGATTATGTGCATCAGAAGTTTGTAAAAGCCCGAAGCGAGATGTTAAGACACTGTTCAATATAGATAAATACATTTTAAATATGATGCGACATGCTCAAATCACCAGAAACACCTCAAATGTAGCATTTAATTAATTTCTCCCTTAAGAGGGCTCTATAACAAATAGCCAACTAGCAATACATTTTTGTAGATTTTATTACACAGTTTGTCTAAGTATGAATAAATGCACAAATAACAGATTTTCCCTCATTTTAACGCAGATTTTCTATAAAAATGAACTTAATTTGAAACTCAAATTACTTTTTGTTGTTTGTAATTTGCCGCTTTTGAGCAAGCCGTATCGTAAATTACAAATTTCTTTATATCAAAAAGTTATTTGGGTTTCAAACTAAGTTCATTTTATGGAAAATCTGCGTCAGAATGGGGGAAAGGGATTTGTGCATTAATTCATATTTTGACAAACTGTAATAATATAAAAATGTTTTGCTGATTGGCTATTTGCTATAGAGCCCTCTTAATGACCATTTTCCAAGTTAAAATTTGACACCTCTAAATTTTTTGTACTTTTTACATTTTCGAATAACGTATATTTTGTATCAAATATTTAATTGTGAGTATATTATTTTAGTGAGGCTCAATGATGATAATCGTGAATTATTTTAAAATAACACCGGTATTCTTCAAAAAAAAAAAAAAATTACAAGCAATCACCAAGTAACTAAACGTACATTCACATTAAAAGAAATTCAATATTTATACATAATTGGCGCGATTCCAGTTTAAAACTCGCGAGTTTTTCATTTTACAAAAGATTCTTCATCGAATATGCAGCCTGATTGAGGCGAAATTATATATTTCCAACATGCAAACCTGTTGCGGTAATGACAAGAAATTATATGCCACGTACACCACAACTGACAAATTATCCACCATTACATTGCTTTCTATTTCGTAATTTCTATATAACTTACCATCCGGCTGTGATGTGAGCCACGATTTTCACCTTTTTCTGTTCTTGCTGTTGAAGAATCCCGTGGCACACGACCCTCATCTCAGAATTCTGCCTTCGTTGGTCCTGAGACTCAAAACCGAATTCCGTAAAGGAGAAAGTTTGAGTAAAGGACTGATGAACCTTGTTCTGTTTCGGCGGTTCGTCGTCTAGGATTTTCAAGGTGGCGTTTCTCTGTGAGAACTTGTAAGTCTTGTGGTGGTCCAGGCTGAGCCAGGTGTGGTGGTCGGTTATCCAGACGGGAAATTTGCATCTTTTGTGCTGATCGTCCACTGAAATTAAAAATATTTGGATAAACGCTACTAAACATATCGATGGTTTCGTCTTACCCGTAGTAAGCTTCATGGTTCTACTACCTTCTAAGGCAGTGGCATCCAATCCGGTACAAGTGGCGTCCGCAGATTCAGCGACGTTGTAAATAGTCTTCCCGTTCTCAGTGCTTCTCTGGTAGATGAAACACCTGTACTGGGCCTCGTCCGAAGCGCTTCTTCTGTTGCCTTGCGAAATTTTGCCCATCAAATATCTGGTTGACCCTTCTTTCCACGTAGCTAGACACACCAGTTCTTCGACTGATAAAAAAAATATGTAACGTGAGTAACAATTATAAAGAATTGACCCAGTCTAACATTGTACCATATACAATTTGTCATTAAACACCTTTCATGTCAAAATAACTTACCGTTACTCTCAGACCCGTGCACGTCCGGACAAGCCTGATACTTGAGCACCAATCTAGAGTCGTCTGTGCAGCTTTCCGCCTTGCTAGGAGGATTGCTGCAGTCACCCGTCATTCGGTTATAGCTGAAGGTGAACGGGGCGCTCTTAAACGGGCAAGTGATGGGCTTGGCTTCCGGGTACTTCCGAAATAAGCTGTATAAGAAAGCGTCCCCGGTTATCATGGAGCAAATGTCGGCAAGTGATGCCTTCGGTTCACAAAAAGCTGTGGAGAGATAAATGTATGTTAAGGAATTGTGAAGCGATGTTGGGTTGGCACTTACTCTCTTTGTATTGGAGAACGCTGGGGTGTTTTGGGTGGATCACCAAGCATCTGAAGCAGTTGTCTTGTCTGTAATAAAGTATAATATTTTAAAATCATTGCATTGAACACAGGAAATGATGAAAACGAATTTATTTGATGATCGTTCACTGATAATAATTGTAATTTTTATAAAAAAAATGCAATATCTACTGATAAATCAAATGACTGGCTTTTAGGGACAATAGAAATTAGAAGAAAAAAAACATATAGGGTGCTTCGTACTGTAATGGCAGAGTGGCGCAACCTAGTCCAGTATGGAAAGACTACTTTAAAAAGTTCTGAGTCAAAATTTTTGAGCTTTCAACACAACTGAAGACCACAAGAGAAAAGGAGATTTGTGTGAAATGTTAATTTCGCGAAAAACGAATTTTAATGCTTCGAGTTTTATCTGTGAGTGATAAAACAGTCATTAAAAATAAATTTACAAGGTCAAAAACAAATAAATTGCATGCTTGAGCAAAAAATGATCAACTCCCATATAGCCAGTAAATGAAAAAAAAAAATGTAAAAAAATTAGTTTCAGATTGAAACTTGGTTTCATTTGAGTCCTGCTAAATTAAAATCCAATAACAATTTGTTTAAATAATTGCAAAGAACCAGCGAAATTTGAATTTGCTACAAATAGAAGAACAGAGTATAAATCGTCTCTAAACTACAGTAAAAGTTGTATTTTGTTATGCTTAAGAAACCCTGAAAATTTGGTAAAAAAATATTTATTTGTTTACGAGTTTTTGCATTTGTTTATTAGAAATAGTATTTTTTCAATTGCAAAAACGCGGTTGTTAGCGTTATAATAAAGGGCCTTATGAGGGCTCATTTGTTTCGTCTTGACTTATATTTTCAAGATATGCAATTGGAAATTGTAATTTCATAGTAACCCNCTATTGCAAAAACGCGGTTGTTAGCGTTATAATAAAGGGCCTTATGAGGGCTCATTTGTTTCGTCTTGACTTATATTTTCAAGATATGCAATTGGAAATTGTAATTTCATAGTAACCCCCTCAAAACGGCGTAAAAACAAATAGTGTAATTTGTTTATAAGGTTTTTCGTTAATAACTTTGCGAAGAATGAATATTTTTTAAAGCCGCTTTGATATTTGTAAACATGGTAATTTTTTACGAATTAAAAAAAAAATTGTTCTAGGACTATTTTTAGCCGAGATAGCGTTTTTTTTTTTAATTCATAACTTGTTTATTTATAAACTTTAAGACTTGAAATTTCGGGAATAAATCGATCAACCCTTAAATTTCATAATAACGGTTAAAGATATCGAAAAAAATGTATTTTATAGTAATTGTTAACCCTTTAAAAAATGTCCTCGAATACATTTTTACAACTGGAATGTGGTGGGGGAAATAAGACAGAAATGTTCCGAGACTTCAAATCTTAACTGCCCGAAAATTTTGCAATATCTCCTGTCGTTGTGGACCAATTTTAACGTTTTTTTTTAATCTGGGGTAGCGCATGAAAATAATAATAACTGCACGGTCCAATTTTTTCGCATTTTTCCGAGAAATAATTTTTCACAATGGTACCACCAATAAACAATTTTCTTAAAAAACAATATCTTTATGTAAAAAAATTCAGGAAATTATATATTTTTTATGTATAAATTTTATTTTAATGAGAATGGAGCATTTTAATTTACTTACCTGTTTTAAAATATAATATGTAATTTAATGTTAAAAAATAATACTATTATGCATATTACATCCAAAAATTCAAATTTCGCTGGTGTTTTGCAATTATTTAAACAAATTGTTAATGGATTTTAATTTAGCAGGTCTCAAAAATGAGTATAAACAAAAGCAAAACTCCTGTTGGAGAGCGCTTTTTAATACAGCTAAAAAACTCAATTTTTGGTAATTTTTACATTATAATCATTGTTTAAATAATGATCTTGTTGTTTTAAACCGACACTTTTTGGGAAATATTATTTCATTGACCTTTTGATTTACATGTATTACAAATTTCATTTACTGAGATTGATCCAAACAAAATGGAAAAAATGGTAACAGAAAAAATAAGTTTAGAATTTTTATAGATTACAAAAAATTGAATTAAAAAACGATACCACAGATTTTTCTATACCGAACATAAATGACGATAAACTAGGACAGTCAATATTTTATTTATACTAGATTTAGTAGATAGCATTAAACAGAAATGCATTTTAAAGGTATTGGGAAAATTGCATTCTTAAGGCATAAATGTGCATTATGAATTCTCCAAAATACCTTTTGGTCTCGAAAATGTTTTCGACAATAAAAGCACATTGAGAACATAAGACTAATATTTGATAGATTTAGTCAGACTAATTTCAAAATACAATAAGATAAATACGAAGTAATCACAAATATTGGCCGATGTATCACTTTCATACAGTGGAGTTATTTTTATTACAGAATATACATATAGATTGTTCTACTAGATGGCAATGTCAACCGTCTTTATAATTTATTGAGATTCTTTTTTTCTGTTTTCAATTATTGGAATTTTGCTTATTTTTCATATACAGCATACAAATCATTATGCCCCTAAAAAATCAAGGCTAACACGATTAGTTTTCGAAATATTTGAAAAATCCGAAATTTTGAGATTTGAGATTTTGAGATTGTATTGAAAAAAGAAGAACACTTTCTCATGGCAACTTTTTGCCCTCTATCGAATGGCATGATCAATTTTTATATGTAACGTTTCGTCTCTCCAGGACCATCATCAACTTCATTTTTTTAAATACGACCCCGGAAATTTTATTACATTTTTTGTAAGCATTCATGACCCCCAATACTGTACTGTCTCAGTCCGAACCAGATTCAGACGTTTTGTCTCGAAAAATTCATGTTCAATGTATTCGTTCCAAATTTATCTAATTTTTTTATTTAAATCTTTAGTTATTTANAGAACATAAGACTAATATTTGATAGATTTAGTCAGACTAATTTCAAAATACAATAAGATAAATACGAAGTAATCACAAATATTGGCCGATGTATCACTTTCATACAGTGGAGTTATGTTTATTAAAGAATATACATATAGATTGTTCTACTAGATGGCAATGTCAACCGTCTTTATAATTTATTGAGAATCTTTTTTTCTGTTTTCAATTATTGGAATTTTGCTTATTTTTCATATACAGCATACAAATTCGCTTCTCACTACAGGGATCCCGGAAACGGTAAGAGATACGAGGTAAGTTAAATGGGGGCAAAGTTGCATAATCATGGGACCAACATTATGCCCCTAAAAAATTAAGGCTAACATGATTAGTTTTCGAAATATTTGAAAAACCTGAAATTTGGAGATTTGAGATTTTGAGATGAAATTGAAAAAAGAAGAACACTTTCTCATGGCAACTTTTTGCTGTCGAATGGTATAATCAATTTTTATATGTAACGTTTCGTCTCTCCAGGACCATCATCAACTTTTTTAAATACGACCTTGGAAATTTTATTACATTTTTTGTAAGCATTCATGACCCCCAATACTGTACTGTCTCAGTCCGAACCAGATTCAGACGTTTTGTCTCGAAAAATTCATGTTCAATGTATTCGTTCCAAATTTATCTAATTTTTTTATTTAAATCTTTAGATATTTAGACTCCAATCTTTGGTCAAGGCCATTTGAAGGTCAACTCAGAATTATCCATATGGGAATATTTCTTCTTCATTGCTGTAGCTTTCGGCCTTCTGAACAAAAGTTTACCAGGTCAGAAAATCTAGAAATGGCTAGTTTTTAAGATGTACAAATGTCAGCTACGTTACTTTTGAGACTTTCATCCTTTCTTTTATATTTTGAGAGGAAAAATTTAAATTTAGTTACTTTCTTATTCCTTAATAGATAATCTCACAACTAATAAAAAAATGAACACAGGGAATTTTTCGTTTGTATCGCCAGGAGTCGACTTTTAGAGAAAACAAATTCGTTTCCCAGCGCAATACGCGTTAACGCGTTTCTAACTTTTTCCATCACTGTGGCGGATAGTGGCGCGTCGCGGTAAAAATCGTAGAGATGGCTGGTTTTCAATAAACGGCGACGCTGCCCATTTAGGTGCATCTTTTCAATTTCCTCCGCATTCAAATCGACTCGCGCCGTCCCGAACGAATGCAGGTTTACAATTTACTACAGAAATATGCTACAAATTTATATATGCAATAATGGAAAATTGTAAAAATCTAGTTATACCAGAATAATGTACCGAGAAATATAAGAATGTGTGCATGTGCATGAAAATCGCGCACGGGGAAAAGTTCGCTCGGGGAAATTTATTTATTTGACAAAGTTTGTGCGGAACGGGATCTGACAGTAGCATAATAATGGCCGAACCTGCGACATTAAGGAAAGTTTAATTATGTGGCGTATGACCAGAGTTATACTTTCAAATGGAGACCGCCTCATTCCGAATTTTGATTACATCTGAATTTATTCCTGTTTGGTGGGGAACCTGAAATTACCAGACGTCGATGAACTTTTGCAATTTATTTCGAGGAACGTCTTTTCGATTTGCTCACGCCGATGGCAATTTAATAATTAGACAAGCGAAGTGATACTATTATAGCCACTGATTTATTCAATACTGTGCCCATTTTGGGTACTGTCAAGGCTACAGAACTTTGGTCGATAATACTGAAAATTTATCCTGTTTCAAAATATTTTCGTTGTTTTTATTTACTCCTAATTTGCAGATTTATTAGGTAATATACAGGGTGTCCCTGAAAAGTATGGACAACGCTTGACCACAGGTTCCCTGGATGAAAACAAGACTATTTAGCCTAACTTACCTATATTACCTATATATAAAAGTGCACGCCTACTGAGATATAGCCTACTAAATATATAACAGATAACCTAGTTTTTTTCAAATAATTTGAAAACTGTTTTTCTTAGAAAATTTGGCACATATCTTTTTATATAAGAGCAATGTAAATATAGAATTTGGTGAGAATACATATATAGGATGTTCTATTTCTAGTGCCTGTGCGCCACTGGCTATCCCGTAACTTTTTTGTATGTACGCCAATGA